TGTCGGGGCAGGGGAGCTGTCGAGGCCCCGGTGAAGCCAAAGCTGGCTCCGGTTTGCGTCCCGACAGGCCAAGCGCACTAAGAAGGTGGGGATCGTGGGTAAATACGGCACCCGGTACGGTGCCTCCCTGAGGAAGATGGTGAAGAAGATCGAAATCAGCCAGCACGCCAAGTACACCTGCTCCTTCTGTGGCAAGGTGAGAGACCGCCTTCCCGAGAAAAAGGCTGGAAAAGTAGCTTTGCTGTTGATGCTAGGAATGCAGTTCGATGCTTCGGTAATTTTTCTGCTGAAGAGATGGCTGGTTTTGAGACAGTGATGAGGTTGCCGAGAGCTTTAGGCTACTGTCAGAATCCCTTGTAAAATAAAAAGAATTGGGAGACATTCACACGTGTGTTAAGTGGTCGTTAAATGAAAACAAATATAAATTATATTTTATTACACAAAATGGTGAGAAGTGTTGCCATACTGTACGCTTCAGATATCTAATAAGAAGACGTGACAGAATTAAACATGCTTGCTATCCTGATAATTAAGATATGCATTGTGCGTTTTTCTTTTTTATTATTTGTGTGCTGCATAACTCAGGATGGGGAAGGCTTTCTGATAAGAAGTAATCTTACCTGCTCGTGTACGTAGTCATAGTTGACCCTTAAATCTGGTTTTTGACAGTTTGAGAGGCCCATCAGCTTGTTGCTTTGCCCAGATAATTTTTATTGGCATCTGTGAAGGAGGTGTCTTTAAGGGGCTGGAACTTTAAAAAGATTTCTGTCTGAGTTGGTTTTTTTTTATATCTAGCGTCTTTCTCATGTGACGTGAGACTGTTCATAACCCCACTTGCAGAGCTGCCTAAACCCAGTACAGGTCTAGGCAAACCCACTGTCGTATTTGCAAGGTGGTGGAGACTTGCCCACATGAGAGGAGCTCAGTACCTCTCGTCCTTTAGGTGCTGTTCAAAGGGGGTCCAATTTAGAGCAGTCTTGGGATGTCCAGGGAGCGCCAGTAACAGCAGTGTTACACTGGTCGTCAAACCAGGTGACAATATCGGTTATGACCAGCGTAACTCCCTACTATTTTTCTCCTTCAGAAAGAGCCAAGTTTTTGATGATGTGCTTAGAAATGACCCACTTTACATCTGAGTGAAAAATTGTTTTGGAAAGACTTTCCCTGTTCTGAAGATTCTGAATAAAAACATTGTCTGATCCTTGCTTGTCTTAACTAGGCTTATGGGTTACACTGTGGGTGACACTGAAATCCATGCCTGAAGTTTGTTGTTTGGCTTTTTCAGCTGACGGAGAGTGGGGTTTTTTTTCCTTTTTATTACAGACCAAAATGAAGAGGAAGGCTGTGGGTATCTGGCACTGTGGATCCTGCATGAAGACAGTTGCTGGTGGTGCCTGGACTTACAAGTAAGGAAATGAAGAAGCTCCTACCAGTATTTATTCTCATATGGCTGAGGCGTAATACAGCTTTTTTGTTATTTATTTATTTTATTCTATTAAATATTAAGTAGATCTGTCTTGAGTTAGTGATATGTGGGAGTTTTTTTGCCTGCATTGTTAAAACTTTATTTGAATGGATCGAATTGGATTTGATAGGTATTCTTTCCGGTGTCTGTTGTGCAACTTCTGAGAATGCTGCATTTTATCCAGCTTATTATTGCTGCTGGTTTTGGTGGGTCCCTCCAGAAATTTCTGTATCTCTCTGGGCTTTATCAAAGCAGTTGTTTTGCCCTTCAAAAATGCAAGCTCTGCATCCTTTCCCAAACTTCAGATAATGAAATTGAAACATCTGCAAATGCTGAAGCAAGTACTTTTACTGAAGTAGTCTCTTCTGTGTCTTGGCTGTAGTAGCATTTTGTGCTGGAGACGTGAACTACAGTTGCTGCTTGTATGAGGTATTGCGTGTGGGCCAGTTTGTTGTGATGTTGGAGGAGAAAGAGCAGAGAGGGTGGCTGGTTTGTCCAGCCGTCTCAGGGTGGAGTCAGCGGTACGGATGACACCGGACGGATGTCCCTCCGACCTATTCTAAAAGGAGCTTCAACAGCTTCTTATAAATTATGCCTCTGACCTGGGGATGATTTTTCCTTCCTTGATTCTTTTGACTGTATAAAAATTTTTAATTGTGTAAGGGAACTCTCACCTCTTCTTTCAAAGCCTAAGCAGCATTTTTTTTGTGGTTACTACCCCAACTGTTTCAGTTCACACACAGATACAACAGGCAAAACCAGGTTTACTCCAAGGAAAGCGATTTCCATGTTTTGTTTTTGTTCTAAGAGCATTGAATCGTTACAGTCCTTACTGTGGTGGTGTCCTTGTTTACTCCCTTTCTTCACTCTCCTTCCCCCCCCCAGTTCTGGTAGAAGACGCTGTTGCCCCACGCACAACAGTCGCTAGGAATCCAAGCCCACGCGCGTGTGCACACAGTCTATGCATGACTGGATAATTTGGGTTGCGGTACAGCTTGTGAGGTTGCGTGTGCTTCTCTAGACAGAGGCCTACGGTTTGTTGTCACAAAAATGAAAGTGGCATTAGCCCCCTGTTGACAATGCAATCGGGCGATAACTATTTGAAATGACTAGTGCTTTCTCCAAAAATTAACATTGGCGCGGGTTGTTCTGCTGCCACGTGCAGATGACTCTGCTTCTTCTTCCAGTACCACCTCCGCAGTGACAGTCAAGTCTGCGATCAGAAGACTGAAGGAATTGAAGGACCAGTAGAAGCTATGCCCTGTTCTCCTTGTGAAACATCCTTGTTTTCCAGTGTCAAGATCTGTCCTTTGAACAATAAAAAGGTGATAATGGAGTGGAATCATGGTTGTCTCTCTGCAAAAAGTCCTGTCTGTCTTATTGTACTGTATTTACAACTGTGGAGGCATTAGTAGTTCTGTGCAGTAGCTGAGTAGCTTTTGTTACTGGTGAAGCCATTAAAAACCACTTTTCCTTTCCAGTTAATTGCATCCTTTGTTGCTTGAGTGTGCTGAGGTGAATCTGAGGAGAGCTTAAATAGCTTGAATAAGCCTGGCACATCTTGATATGTCCTTTATGTCCATGCCTTGAGGAGTAGCACAGAGCTCCACGAGCAGAGGAATGGACAGAGGCAAGGGGGGAGGAGCGAACATGGAGAACATCACTCTGCTGCTTCCCATTTGCCTTGGGGGAGGGCCTGGGGGAGCAGGGCCTGTGCTGCCGGATGGAGAGAGGAAAAGAGCATTATGACTGGCTGGGGGCAGAGGTTGGAGTGGTAAAAGAGCAGCTGCCATCCTCTGTTGCTGGCTGGTGCCGCTTTGTATTCCAGTGCCAGCTGCAGACGATCACTGACTGCAGCGCGCTGCTGTGTGCGGATCTGGAGGTGAGTCCTCCTGAAGGTGCTCTGTGGCTTGCTTATCCCCAGTCTGATTGCAGGCTCCCGTGTCGGTGTCCTGAAGTTCCCTAATCCATACCGAGTTGCAACAATAAATTTTTGTGTTGAGCCAACTCCTGGGACACTCAGCCTTGGAGGAAAAGCTGCTGTTTGAGTTAATAATTGCCTCCAAATCATCTCTTTAGACCAAGCTTGAGATGCCAGAACATTTTTTTTTTTTTTTATGGTCTGTCAGGTGAGTTTCGGTTTGGTTTGAGGTTTGTTTTTGTCTGGACTTTCTGGTGACTGCAGCACCTTTCCTGTCCTTAGCAGCACAGGTCAGAAAAGACAAGGCTTGGTCATAACCCTGATAGCTGTTTGGGGGAAAAATAGTAGGCAGGTAGCAATAGTGGTTGCTTGCTCTTGCTACAACTGAAGATTTAAGTGGATTTAGGTGGATGAGCTGCGGCAATAATGTCATTAAAGAGCCTGACATCTCTGAAAGAGATTCAGAACTCGACCTAAGTAGGAACCTTTTCACAGTCTGCAAGTGTCTATGGCTCAGAAGTTTGACTGCAGTGTCCCTGAATTGGTTTCCTGATTTTTTTTTTAAATCCAGTGCTCTAAACTTCCCTTACTGAAGTAAATTCATGTATTCAGGTATCCAGTGTCATTGATGCCAGCCTGCATATGCTTGCCGTGACCTCCCAGCAGGGAGGAGGGCTGTTCCTTGGGACGCGGGCAATCTGCTGTCTGGGAGTTGGATCACTGCATGTTTCTCCATTGACAGACCTTGTTCTGCCTGTAGTGCAGGGCGAGAGCTGTGTGACAGACTTGACGTGGGGGTGGCAGTGGGTGGCTCTCCTTAGAAGCGATGGCTCATTTTTGTATACATAGATGAACACCATCAGGACCTTCTGCATGTGTCTTCTGTTGTAGCAGGGTTACAAAGGAAACCTGTGGGTTCAAGAAACTCTTGGCTCAACTCGTGTCTCATTTTTTTTCTGCTGCTTTTCTTACGTGACATGCCCACAGCAGCTTTCTCTAGATGCTTCCTTGTCACACCTCCCAGCTTAGTCCTGGGCGCTGCTGTTGGTGGTCCTGGTTCGTCCTAACCAGCTTCCTTGGGATGCCATCTCCAAGCTGCCTTGAACTTTCTTTTCAGTTAGGGTGTTTCTGCTCCCTGGGGAATGCCTTGTGGGCTGGTGTGTGGTTAGCTGGAACAGCTCAAGGAGCCAGCTTCTCTCTTGCTGGCTGCTGCTCCCAGTGAAGGTGGAGTGAGTGGTGCGTGAGGACATCGCTGATGTCTGCTGACCTGGCTCGGTGAGCTCGGTGAGGGGTGCTGGTGCTGCCCTGGACTTTGGCTTACCTTCCTGCGCAGGTTTGTGAAGTGCTGTGGTCCAGAAGCTGCTTGGCAGGTAACTGAGCCATCCTTAGGGAAACCTGGGTGAGAAGGAAGGGTTGGGGAGCTGGTGTAGGCTGGATGTCCAGCCACCGCGCTGTGTCCTGCTTGGACCTGCAGGAGAAGTGGCTGCAGCTGGTGGGGGGAGCTGCTCCGGGTGCCAGCTCTTGTGGAGATGAGTGAGCTCAGGAGTAACTGGCCACACATCTGGGCATCGCCTTGGGAGAGTGCTTTTAAGAAGGTTTCTGAACAATGACAACACTTCTTAAAACTGCATCGGAATAAAGACAACTTCCATTGTACTAAAGGTGTCTTCATGTGAGCCCTTTTGCTGGGAAACTGTGACAAAGCCACGTGAGCACTAATGGCTTTGCTTGGTGTTTCATTGTGTGGAAGCCTTTGTTGGTGAAACACTCTATGTGCTTTGGAGGAGGTTTCTCTGGTGGCGTGGCCGTACAGCTCTGCCTCTGGAAAAGGGGCTCTGGGGGGCTTGGGTTGTTCTGTGGAGGTCCACGTTTCTACGAGGAGGCACCACGCAGCCAGCTGAGCCAGGGGAGGCCTGACAGCTTGGAAGCCACAGCCTGGCTTCCTGGGTGGTGGGTTGGAGTATGGGAGGGAGAAATGCTTTTTTCACTGAAGCTGCAGAAGAAGTCCAAATCTCCAGCACCACCTGCGTGAGGTGTTCCTACTGGAGCAGAACTTCCCGGGGATCTGCAGTGACACAGGGGCCATGGACATGGTTCATCTGCCACTGGGAAGTCACCACTGTCCCTCGGCGATCCTCCAGAGAAAAAATACTGCTCAGCCCTGGGCACAGCCGCGGGCATCCCCCGGTTAAACATGTCCTCCTCTCTTCTGGGGGTCTTGAGCCGCCAAAACCAGATGTAAGCAGCAACCTGGTGAGTGTGCCTCTGGCACATTGGGGTTTACCTGCTGCCTCGAAGGCTGCGGGAGCTGCTGCGCGGAGGTGTGCGTGGGCGGCTCTCCCTGCCTTTACGGACGAGCAGGACAGCGCGGTTCTGCACATCGCCTGCTGTTCTTGGCTCGGTGTGGTTAGGTCACACTTCCATGTCTGGGTGCTCAGGTACTCCTGCACGCCTCTGCGCTTTCTCCATTCATGCGGAGGTTGCAATTAAAGCACAGGTTTCTGGTTAAGGCCCACTCAGCTGCCACAGACGATGTGTTTCGTTGTGTCGGATGTCCCAGGGTGATTGCACAGGTGTCTGAGGTGACTTCTGTTCCTGCGGAGGAAGTTGTTAATTACCCGTGGGGTTAATATTTGCAGGGAGTGGAAGCCTGGCGGGGTGGAAATAGGAAGAGAAGGGAAGGATTTGCTCCAGGCGGTGGGGTCCTGCCCCTGTCCCTGCGCGGGCTCAGAG